GAAGTCGAAATTCCGGTGCCGTGGCAATCAATAGAATTGAGCGCTGTTGCAACAAGGCTGCTCGTTACATTGAGATGCTTAACGTTCGTGGATCTAGGAGTCGTTGAACTGCTGATGGTGGCGGTTGCCTCTGTACCCACCCATGTTCCAGTGTGAATATCTTGACCTCTTCGAAGCTTCTCGACACGCATCAGACCAGCCAAGTGATAATATCAGAGAGTAGTCTCCTGCTTGATTCAGCGCAGGCCAAGTGGTCTCTGGAGCAGTTGTTCCGGTTAGTTGCTGCCGCTCGACCCTTCGATAATTTCTCTGTCTGTGGTCACTCACAAATTCGGGTGCTGGATGGCCACGCTGACTTCCGCCATGGCGATGAGAACCATCTTTGCGCAATTATGCAATTCCTGTCACTGCAGACATCCATGCGTGTCCCAACATCGCCTTTTCCTTCCTCTTTGCGGCCGAGAAGACGGCCAAAAAATGATCGGGTCGGCGGGTGCAGATCACATATTTGATCAGCAGCGCCTTTACAGCAACGTTCTCCTTCGACCACTGCAGAGAACTTCGAGTTCACAGCTGAGCGCAATGAGCAGGATTGCCTGGACAGTAACGGCCAGAACCATCAAGAATTGATGCAGTCCATCTATAAAGATGCTCATACAAAAGTAGAAGTGCAGAGGGGGACAGACATTAGTGCGACCCGCCGAAAGGCAACGGGCGCCGACCACAAAAAAAGCAGAGGGGGACAGACATGGCAAACAGACATGGGCGCCGACTTCCCCCTTACCCCCCAAAACAAAGATCAAAGTTTTTTTGCGACCGGACGGGCAACTAGGAAGGCCCTTGAGCGAAGCCGGTTTTAAGTTTTCCGGATCCAGAATTGGGTCCGTTGGAGCAAGCAGTTTTGTAGATGACTTTAAATGTTTTAATTTCAATCTTCGCATGAGCGGGCCTTCTCTGTATTTCATACATTGAAGTACTCCCTACAAACATCACTAAACAAGTACTGGGGAGGACCGCCCCTTTGCGAGTCCAAATTCAATGCTTTTTCGTCCAACGCCTTCGGCTCTCGCCAGGTTGTTACTCGCGTTCAATCGCAGTAAAAAGATGAATTGTAAATTATCATGCAATGCCGTCTAAATGTCATTTTTGTGGTCGGCGCCCGTTGCCTTTCGGCGGGTCGCACTTGAGACTCCCGAGTGGACCAGCAGGGATTCGAACCACCACCGGCAGTCTGTCAGCGCTGGCAAGACCAACGATGCCGTCTAAACGTCAATAGCCTCAACCGAGCACCGGTAATGGACCTATACACAGTCCATTGAGCGGTCCCATCGAGGATTCGTGAATGTGGGTGGTGCTGCATCGCAAATCGCTGCACGGAGCTTGGGACGGAGACAGCTGATACCACATGTGCACTTTCAGGTTCCATTTCTGGAGCCGGAAAGTCAACGATGGCAGAGTAAGAAAGTCTTCAATACGTCACCTTGCCACATTTTCCTAAGCAGATTCCTATTCCATTCCGTTTTAAATTCAAACCAAGATTAATTATGGGATTGACTGAAAAGATCGTAATTCATGTTCTTTCTGAGCTAAAAACTTTGGTGGAAGAGTAAAGTCAACGCAATCATTCTCACCTCCGCCCAACTCGGCAAGACTCCGCAGCAAAAGACATCAAAACTGGCACAAAACTGTGGTAAAATCCAAGTTTTGCATCTCTAGCCTTCTATGGAATCTGCAGGATTCAACCCGACGAGCAAAGTTGCCGCGTTAGGAGTCTAGAGAGGGGAGCCCAAGCACAGATGCGTTGTTCAAACCTGGATGAGACGCCAGATCCTTTCTACCTACAGCACGTGCCCTACAACAGCACGTGCTGTAATACAGGCGAACTGGCGTACGAATTTAAGAATTCATTTTTTTTTCCATGTCCAAGACATGGGGGATTCCATGCCATTGACAATTGTGGCAAAAATCACATGGACAAACAAATCCATCGCTTCAAAGCAATGACAAAAGAAATATTAATAAATCCGAACTGAAGCTGTGAGGGAAGGGAACTGAAGCCGTTTTTTGGTTTGCTGTTTTTGGCGCGTTTTCGTTTTCGGCGTTTGTAGTATGTCTAGATGTTTGGCGTTTGAAATTATATCGACCTGTATGTGATATAATTGTACATAAAATGTAATGAATGTCCACCTTGAATCCAAGATCTATTACTATACAGTCTGTCTTTTTGGAGCAGGATTCAGTGCTCATTTCTGGCACGTTTAGGTGGCGTATGTCTTCGATTATTTCACCGAAACATGCTCATGCTCCAAGACAGTCAGGTCCTTCCTGTCTCTACAGCAGCCATTGCCATCTTGTGCTAGTGTTTCGTCAGGCGATCTCGATGTCCGTCTCAATACCGGGCATAGACAGCTAGCCGCGGATCGATTCCCCCCGGGTACGGGGCCGCGATCGTGACGTGGTAGACGAGTAAGTCTCAATACACCGCGACCCGCCGAAAGGCACAGGGCGCCGGTCAAAAAAAATATCTTGTGCTTTTCGTCTTCCAATCGGTTGGAAGAAGTGTGAATTTGGTCCCACTATCACATGTATTGGTTGGCAAATCCATGTTCACTGCGGTTTCATTTGCATTTCTCATGAGAAGAGACGGAAACTTAGATTTGCTGCGTCGCTTAACTTCTTCCAATCAGGGGCCAAAGAAAGTATTAGAACAATTTCTCGACTTGCGTTATGGATCACCCAGCTTTGGCCACATATGCGAACCTCCATTCCATCCCAGCATCTCAATATTCGGTCGGTCCTGGTGCCTGGAAAGAAGTTTGCAACTCAGTTTCAGACGATCTGCGTTTCCATCGCCAACCCCGGTTTTCAGCCATTCCCTTGAATGGACAACTGATTCAAGTTCGTCATAAGTCAGTTCTTTCTAAAGCGGACCTCCAATCACGCTTCCTTTCAGATAAACGTATTTGGCTACGTATCAGAGATCCTAATTCCTCAAAAAAAAATTATCTAGTGATTCCCATCGGGTATTGAAAATGTATACAAATTGGTTAGAATCCTTACCCCCTGTAGTCTCCATGTGGCCTAAACCACTCTGGAACGGTGTTTGCATCGCGGACGCATTTGCCAGTGGCATGTCTTGCGGCATTGGCGGATTTGTGCAATTTTCGTCATCCGACACCAAATGGTTTTCCTTAAGATTGCATGCTGCTGATTTCGCAGCCCTCCAGATCCCTATGCATGAGGATCTGCAGAAGGACATCTCCAGCCTGGAGACACTGGCACAGATCGCACTGGTTTACATAGTGGTTAAACATCTCCCTGATTTCGTATCCCTTTAAAAATCTCCACATGGTCCGATAACACAGCAGCCGAATCAGTCTCCAATAAGTTGTTTAGCACCCGAATGCCATTGGCTTTGTTTTTTTGAACGCCTGCGTCATCCACCATTGCCGTGGATGTTAGTCACATCGCAGGAAAGTCCGATGATCTAGCAGATGCCTTGAGCAGAAGGGATCAACAAAATGATCCCCCATCTCCATTTTGCCATTCCGATCGTTTCTTCGTGAGTCCTCAAGACCTTTGGAATCCGACTCCATCCGCCACACTGCATCCGCCTGACGCATGGATTCCATGGTCGCTGCCTTGATCATCCTAGTAGATTTCCCTCTTTTTGCATGCTGGATAAGTCCACTCTTTTAGATGGGGGTGAATTGGCGTACTTATCCAACAGATCAATAGTTGTTTAATGGGGGTTTCGTTTCCATTGATCAAGTTGGATAACAATTTGATCTGAACAGGATGAAATATAATACGGCAATGCAAAAAAAAAGAAGAATATGAAATGCGCAAACGGTGTAGAAGGGGATTAAATTGAGAAGAAATTGATTCTTTTGCTTTAATCGTTTTTGGGTTTCGAGTTACTTCCTTGTTGCGTTTAATATGCGCTTGTATGTGATATTAACAAATGTAATGAATGTCCACCTTGAGCTATAACTGTACTTGTTCAGTTTTGTTTTAATGGTTGGATCTTCATTAATTGGATGATACTACCATTTTGACTCAAAGGGCATTCATTGCATTTGCGTTTGTTGCTTCAATGTTTTATTTTCCCCACCCTCCCACACCTTAATGTAGCTTCTCCTTCTCATTGGTCTTTTGACCATTTCCCTCGATATAGTTGCATTGATCAGCATTTTTCGACATTCGCTGGGGCGTTTCACTTGTTTCACCGCGGCAACATTTTCGTGATTTCCCCGTTTCCTGATGGAGGGGGGGTTTCGTTTCCATTGATCAAGTTGGATAACAATTTGATTTGAACAGGATGAAATATAATACAGCAATGCAAAAAAGAGAATAATATGAAACGCGCGAACGGTGTGGAAAGGGAATTAAATTGAGAAAAAAATGTTTTTTTGCTTTAATCGTTTTTGGGTTTAGAGTTACTTCCTTGTTGCGTTTAATATCCACTTGTATGTGATATTAACAAATGTAATGAATGTCCACCTTGAACTACAATGTAACGTGATGTAATGCAATCAAATCTAATATGATGTAGTATAAAACGTAATAGCATCTAATTTAGTGCAATGTAATCTAATGTAGCGTAACCTTATGTAATGTCACACAGTCCAATGTAATCTAACGAAATGAAATGCAATGTAATGTAATGTAGCGTAACGTAATGTAATGCGAGAACAACCCTTGGGAGTCTTGCAGTCCATTTCCTCAAGAAGTTTGCATAAAAACATGAGCCGGCCTTGGCGAGGAATGGAAGATGCGCACCTTAAGATTCCCAAAAACTGTTTGCTCGATGGATGTATGCACCAAAGTTACCAGATTCTAAGACTGGGTTATTTGTGTAGTGGATTAAAAAAATGGAGATACTTGGATGATGGTGGCATTCACGAAGTGAATTAACTGTCAAAACGGAAATGGAAAAACAAACGAGGTTTGTGAGCATGCACCTGTTCATCTTGATTTCCTCTGCAGTTACCTTCAAGGGCGGGCGTGGTGGGATCGCCTTTTTCCACGGGCTTGCAAACGGTAGGGGGGCGCATGCCATGGTTGAGGAGGACATTGGTGAGGACTTGACTAAACCTGAGAGTGTTGCTAGTTCTGGGTACTCTGCAAGTGTTGCTGATCACGTTTTAAACGAGACGCATGAGCATGGCAGTTTGGATGACAGTCAACAAGTGGAGCCTCAGCTGGATTCAGTTGGTGATGAGATGGTGCCGTTTCGTGCCATTGATCTGATTGGAGTTTCAGACAGCTTTGCACCATTTAGGCCTCCACCTCAGTACGATCAGCATCTGCCTTGTGATGTGCCTGAAACGGAGCAACATTTGTTTGGACCCCCTGAACCTGTTTCTGAAGTCAATCATGGGTCGGATGTTCACGAGTCTGTGGAAATTGGCAGTGCAGATTCAGTTGAGCTTGTTGAGAATTATGCTGACGAGCTGTCAGAGCCTTTGGAAGATCAGCCTATGTCCGGACCTGTGGTGCCAACTCAGACTTGGAATGAAATGGTTGCACATGGTTTTGCACAGTTTAGGCAAATACCTGAGTCACTCTTGTTTCCTTGGGAGCAGGGACCGATGGCTGCTGTTTTCAACTTCGACGCTGACCCCCTGCCACAATGCTTGGGGATTGCTGAAACAGAGCGAACAGTTGGTGCCGACACCTCAGATCCTTTGCAGAACCATTTGAAGGGTTTCTTACTGCCTGATGATGCAAAGTACGTGCATGCTGTCAAAAGCATACAAGATATGAATTACTTTGACAACAAGTCTCAGCAGTTGGAGTTAGCATGCAGCCAATGGTTGCGCATCCTTTCAGTGCAGTGGAGTGCATCGGGTGTTGGACCTCAGCTTGCGGCGGCCTTACAGAAAGATAGTGCAGGTCAGGAGGCGTGCACGATTTTGAAAGCATGTTTTGGTATCAAGAGTCCATCAACTCTGCTTAAGAGAGCTGGAGCCTTCAGAAAGTTTTACAGCTGGTTTGAGAAGTCATCAACATGCAAGGAGTTGAACAGTTTTCCTTTGCCACTGGAAGAGCCGGTTGTTTGGGAATATTTCCTGTCATTGCGGCAGCTGAGAAGCGCACAATCCAAAGGATATACAGTGCCATCCAGTTTCCTGGAAGCAGTGCGTTTTGCCAAGTTCACTTTGGATTTGCAAGGCACGGACAGTATTTTGGGCTCACGAAGATTGCTAGGCCTCTCGGCCTTGGAACGCAAGGCAAAGGGCCCTACAGTTCAGGCTCCTGGGCTCCAGCCTGAGCATATTAGGCGTTTGCATGAGGTGTTGCACACTTCTTCAAACTTGATTGACAAACTGGGAGCTGGTTGCTTTTTGGTGTGCTTGTACGGACGTGCAAGATGGAGTGACATGCGATTTGTGAGCCATGTGCAGCTGGAAGATGGTGAGTTTGTCACCTTTTACACCACTGAACACAAGACTGCTTCAGTGGGCTTGCGAAGGGAACAGTATCTACCTATTGTTGTTCCATGGAGTGGCATTTGCAATGATGACTGGTTGCGTGAGTGGCTTAAGGTATACCACCAAGTTGGCTTGGACATTTCCAAGCGACCGCTGGGGCCATTGCTACCAGCACCCAGGATTGATGGGTCTTTCTGCGCAAGGCCTCTGACCACGCCAGAGGCAGCTACGTGGTTGAGAGCCCTGCTTCAGGGAACCAGTGAATGTGAGACTTTCAGAAGTCATTCACTCAAAGCTACACTTCTCATTTGGTGTGCCAGGGCTGGATTTGATAGAGAGACCAGAGCAGTACTTGGACATCATTGTAGCGCTGTGAGTGGCTCTGAAGTAGTTTACAGCAGACAGCTGCAGACACGTGCTTTGAGGAAGCTTGCATTGGTGCTTCGACGGGTGCGGGCAGGTCTTAACATCGAAGATGAGGCCATGAAGGAGTATGGCATCATCAGCACACCGGCGCCATTTACTCCGGTGGCTGCAGCCATGACACCTATGGCACCTGTGCCTTTTGCTCTGCCCCAGTCAGTGGGGCCTCGGCAAGAGACCGTCGACAAGGAGGCGGTGGACAATGCCGTTTCAAGTGCCCTTCATTTGGAGGAGCTTCAGAATGTCAAAGAGGAGGACTTGGACCAGTCGACATTGGAGCAGGCTGCTGCTGAGTTGACCCTCTTCCCAATAGAGGTGGTAGCTGCAGGTGTTGTTGAGATTGAGTCTTCATCAGGTAGTGACAGCTCCACAACATCGACTGGAAGTGAGACCTCTTCCTCAGAGGAGGTTGTGCAAGCTCAAGGACCACAAGTGGTTGAGTTTGTGCCTGAGGGCGTTGATTTCTATCGGCATGTGAAGAGTGGGATAGTTCACTCTTGCAAGATTGGCGAGAGTGTTGCAGGCTGCAAGATTCAGTTGGGAGTTAATTTCAAAAAACTTACAAGGAAGATTCACATGGTTCACCCTAAGTGCATTCGTTGCTTTCCAAGAAACAACAACCGCATTCGCTCAATGGAGCAGATGACTGATAGTTTGGATGCATACCTTAAGCGGTCAAGAGCATCAGGACCAAAGGGTCCACAAGTTGGAGCTGGTTGTTGACATACAGCCCAAAGGGTTGCGTTGTCCGAGAGAGCAAAAGTGTGAGTGCTGTGCAGAAAGCTGCATGTTCACTGGAAAGCCAGATTGAAGGTCATAGGACCACACACTCACAGGTGCAAAGGCACACCACTGCAGAGAGCTGCAATTAGACTTGAGAGTCACATTTGATGGAAGCCATGTTTTAGTGGAAAGCCGCTGCAGTCGTTTTTACCTTTTTCAAGTGAAGGGCTCAGTTGGAAAATACATTGAAGTCACGTGCATGTTCTTTGTTGGGCAATGTTCGCAAGTTGCTGTTTTGAGTTTTTGCACCTTGATCTGACCAGGTCACTTGCCTTCACGTTTATGCAGTTGTTTGCAAAGCTTGCTTAATAAGATCACTGGCGCATGTTTCAGTTGGGACTCCTCCTTTAGGAGGATACAAACCTTATTCCTAAAAGAAAAATTTTGGGTGATCCAAAATTAGCAACTGGTGTTTGTTGAACACACGCGTTTAAATACTTTGCCAAAACAACCTGAAAACTTTTTGAGGTTTTCTCTGAACTCTTTGTTCTGTTTCAGTTGTCCACGGTTGTACTGTTTGTTTAACATGTCGATGTTTTACAGTACTCCATCTTCAACCTCTGTGTGAAACACATTGATCTGTATATTGCATGAGAACCATTTTGGTTTAAGGGAGGGTTGTGGTGGGACCATTCGTGTATTTGTACGCGTAGATGAGCAGGGTGGGGTTATCGTTTGAGATGACTGTCCTTGCTACAGACGTTTCTGTGGACGCTGATGTGCCTGATGGCAATGACAGCTTTGCACTCAGAGAACAGGCTGCAGCTGAGAATGCAGAACTTGAAGTATTACATTGGGAATCATTGCAAGATGAAATTGCAATTGCAGAAGGTGCTGGTTCTAGGAACAATTTGTTCGCAGGCGCTTCTGTAAGATCTGGTAGTTCGGCTTCAGATGCAGATTTTCTTCAGGTTTTGCCCATTACAGAAAGTGCACATGATGTCAGCGTGACAGATGGTTATTCAGCTGATAATACTTTCAGCCATGCAGATCCAGGTTGGAGCCACAAGGAATTCAACATTTCTGGGAGTCTGGTTTTTGGAACGACTTTTTCGATCCTAACAAGACCTTTCTCAGTTCTTTTGACAACCACTTCAAACGTCCTGTTGATCCTGTTCATGGAGATGTTCATGAAGTCTTCGAACAACAAGTTGAACGCAAACCGAAAGCTGCAAAACTGAATGCAACGTTCATGGACCATGTCAGGGATGCTAGCATCATGAACTAGAAGGACAAGCGTGAAGCAGACTGGCAAACAGCCATATTCAGGTGGCATTCAATGCTGGGCACGTGGTCAACAGACGTCCAGGTGGTTTCGCAGATTTTGGTAGAGAAGGCTTCAAGGAACAGGCACAAGTTTTGGTTAACATCTTTTACAACAAGGCCCCATCGACTATTTTTAAACGGTGCAGGAGCATGTCAAAGATGACCAATTACTTTATTGACAGGGGACGACAATTTCCTTGTGGAGAGCCGGACATCTATGAGTTCTTGTGTGTTGAACGCGGCAATGGTTCTCCAAGTTCAAGGTTGAAGGGTTACATAGAAGCTTTCACATTCTGTCATCATGTTTTGGGTGTTGTGGCATTCGACGACACTACATGCAGCAGACGATGTCAGGGTGTGGCAGCCTTAGACTTAAACCATAGTGTGAGGCAAGCAGACCCATTGACTGTCAAACAACTTGAAACTTTGCACCACATTTTATTCAATGATGATGAACTGTGGAATCGAGTTTTTGTGGCATGCTGTCTTTTGTGCATATGCTCGATCACGGTGGAGCGACGCACAGCATGGTGAGATGCTCATCGAAGATGTGGACTCGCCTTTGAGTTTGACAGAGGGAAGTGAGGGAAAAGGTTTTTAACCCGGATGACACCAGAAGTGGCCGACTCAGAATAGCTCAGAGTTTAGGCAGTGACCTGCACCAGAATGCAACAGAAAACGTGATTGACAGTTTTGAGGTTGTTTCACCGTTGCCACCAGTTGTTGAGACCGCTGGAAAAGCAGATGGCAATGAAGCGGTTGCTGACTTTGATGAAGTTTCAGCCAGCGACCATGCGACGACAGGCAGCGAAACGGAGAGTGACATCGACACGACGGTCAGGCCCGAAGTGTCTTTCAAGGACATCCAGGCGCCAGATGGAACCTATTTGCACCAACATGCAAAGTTAAAGACATTGCATTTGATGAAGTCTGAAAACGGACGAGTCTTTTTGTGTGGACGCACAACAAACTGCTGAAGGGCGTCATGCTTTTGATACACCTAAGTGTCGCCAGTGCTTTTGCGCAAAGCTAGACTGAGACTGAGTGGCAAAACGGTGAGGTGGCTTTCGTTTTTCATCACATGTCGTTGTTGCATGGAGTGTGCATACTCGGCAACAGGTGCAGGTTCCCTTTGCGATGATTTTTCGACAGGTATCAGGTCAAGGTGATGTCGTGACTCTCACTCAAGTTTTCATTTGAAATTTCGGCCAATTGAATTTTAGTACCACTTGAAACTCAGACTTGTCGGTTGGCAATGATTCAGCTTTGCACAACGACGAGAGAGAGGATCAAGGATGTTGGCGCGTGAGCTCTCAGTGGGCCAAAGGTGCGTGACACGTTTTTGCAAGTTCAAACTCACTTTCATTTCACAGGCATCATGAGGGAATGTTTGCATGAACATGGCCAACCAGGCAGATGTTGCAGTGCAAAATTCCATGATACAATTTTTCAGATGCAGTATCTTTTTCACGTCAGGGGCATGCAGAATTTTTGACACTTGTAGTTGGACTTCAGTCAGAACCAAAGCTATGGCCTTGGTAGATTCTGAAGCTGCCTTTGCAAGTCGCTGCAATGCCATTGACAAAAGCCGAGAGCTCTTGAACATTTGCGTTCATGATGAGCTTACAACGTTTATGCGCATGGCATTCGCAATCGGCACACCTCAGATGCCGGCGAGTGAAGGAAGTTTCAAAACGTTTGCAACTGATTTGAACGGGGGAATCGAACCTTCTATTACAATGATGTCCTTGCTGAGGAGGTTGCACTTCGAAGCAGTTACAATGGTGGTGGCGCATTTGAAAACAAACGTGACCACGGACGCTGGGGTGGAAGGGTCAAGGAAACTACCACCCGTGGAAAAGGTGGCAAGGGTGCAGGAGCAACAGGCTCGCTTGAAGGGCCTTACAATCAAGGGAGAAATGCAGCCCTCTTATGCCTTGATTGATTTGATCGCAGGCATCCATGACAGTGGTTCAATTGTTTGGGTGCCGCCGAGTAAGTTCACCAAGAGAGACTCCGAGGTGCGTCAAAGCCGCAAAGAAAAATCCACCACTTTGACTGTGGAGCAGCAGACGCTGAAGCTTGCAGCTGGCGAGCCCAAGATCAGGGCCGATACTTCGAACGAGCTTCTGATGCAATGGGCTTTGCAGAGGCGTGGATTAGCTTTTGATCAGTGCAAACTCATATCGAATGACATCCATGACAAGTGGGTACAAGCGCTACTCATGCAGTTGACGCGTGAGTCACCAAGTGGCTATGCTAGGGTGACTATGGAGCAACTCCTACGAGCAGACAAAGAACTTTTTACTTTGATGTCGCAAGAGCGCACAGGGCCTTTCAATGTTGGACCCAAGGGAGAGTTGCCTTTGGATTTGTTGATGACACAGCTGATGCACGATGCTCGCATCAACTTACACCTGCTTCCTCTTCAAGTCTTCCCAGTGCTTCAGCCAAAGCTGCGTCAAGCTCACATGTGGACGAAGGGGCCCCCAAGCCATCAGTGCCAAAACCCATACAGCCGAGCAAGAAAGCGCGCGCTTCTGCCAAAGCTCGTGCAAATTGCCCTGATGAGCTCAAAGGTTTTGGCCAGTTTGATGACAAGGGTACTCCTATCTGTTGGGCTTTCAATCCAAGCAGAGGTTGTCAAGAGGAAACAAAGGATGGCAGATGCAAGAAAGGCATGCATGTTTGTATCAAGTGCAAACGCAACAATCACAGCTTGGTGACGTGCAGAGTGAAGAAATCCTGACTTAAGGGCAAGGGAAAGCGTTGCAATAAATTTTCACCTCGTGAATTTCACCGTCGCGATGAAAGCAGTCGCAAGCATGAGGAGCAGCAACAAGTGAACAATGACAATCAAGACGATTGCGAAGTTGCTGCCAAACCTGTGGTTCAACAAGAACCCGTTTTCACTTCAAAAGATGTCCCTAATGGGAGAGATTTTCACTGTGATGTCCCTCAAGGGGAAAAACGTTTGGATGGTTTCCGACTTGATGAAGTCATGGTTTTGGACATCTTCGCAGGCACGGCACGCCTGTCGAGAGCAATGCGATGTGGGGATGAGTGCAATGGCCATGACAAAGATTCACAGCGGGCACAATCTGTGCACATTGCGGCCTACGACCTAAACGAGTCCGACCAAGTCGCGGCGTTGTCTGACTTCATCAGCAAGCACTCCCACGTCATTTTAGGGGCGCATTTTGCACCCTCCTGCGGAACAGCTTCAAGAGCAAGAGGCAGACCTCTACCAAAGCTGGCAAAATGGGCATCAAAGTGCCGCAAACCTTGCGTAGTGAAAGCAAGCCAATGGGCATCTTTCTGGTCTGGACAAAACTAAGGCTGAGTGCGCAAACATTACATATGAAAGCACCTGTGAGCTCATGCGTTTGTGCAAACAGTTGGGCATTGCTGTGTCGCTGGAGAATCCCAAGAATTCTCTTTTCTGGAAAGTTCCCATGGTAGAAGCTTTTCTTTTGGAAATAGGCGGATACAATACAATTTTTGACAACTGCTGCCATGGTGGCATGCGGAAAAAGGCCACATCCTGGTGGTCCAATGTGGACTGGTTCACAAGCCTTGCTGCCCAATGCGATGACTCGCACTACCACCAGAAGTAGAATGCTGAAATTATCGATGGTCTGTGGTGTTTCCAACTCATTTGGAAGCTGCCTACCCCATTTTGTTGTGCGAACGTTTGGCAACAATTGCAAAACTCAAGGCACTAGAGCTTGGTGCCACGGAGATACAAAACCTGGCGCAGCAGATGAACAGGCGCCTTCGTCTCAGCACAGGTTTTTACTGGATATGTTGCCACAGGGATGCGAATTCAAACCACTGGTCTCTGAATATGGCTTCTACGACAAAGGGGCGGCAGTCACAAACATGAATTTTTCTGAACAGCAATTTTTGCACAATCTTCCCAAGGGAACAAAGAGTGTGCATCGACAGTTGTACAAGGGTATTTTTCGGGTCGATGCAAGTGAAAACAATGACATCAAATGTCATATTTCATGCATGACAGAGCACTCTACATTTTCGGGTCGATGCAAGTGAAAACAATGACCATGACAGAGCACTCTACATATGAAATCTTGAGCGTGCAAGTTTTTTGTGGAAGTGGAGTAACAGGGCAAAGGAGTTAGCGAGCGATGAGAAACAGCTTCATGAGAGCATGCCTGAACACTTGCGTCATTTGCTTAAGGGCAAAAGACTTCTACTTTTGAAAGAAGTACTTGAGGACCTGCAATACCCGGACACAAAACACTTGAGGACCTGCAATACCCGGACCCAAAACTCTTTGATGAGATCACTCAGGGCTTTACTTTGCATGGTTGGATGACAGAGTCAAATGTTTTTCCGAGAGAAACAAAGAGGCCAGAGTATACACTTGACATGGTGAAGAACATGGCCAAAGGCGTGAACAACATGATATACAGTCAGGTAGTGGGCACGTCGGATGACGAACTTTCTCGAAAAACCTGGGACAAAACTTTGGAAGAACTTGACAACAACTAGGTTTGGCGTGACGTGACCAGTGATACTGGTGACGTGGTGATGGCAAAACGTTTTGGCCTACAGCAGAAAGAGAAGGTCAGAGTCATCGACGATTGTTCAGTGGGTGACTACGACAAGGCCTATGGAACAAAGGAGAAACTTCGGGTTCACGCCATTGACCAATTAGCAGCATACCTCAGCTGGATATGCACTGCCCATGGCACCACTTTGGATGATGAAACGGTCAGCCGGACATACGACCTGCGCAGTGCCTACAAGCAGTTTGGGGTAAGCTTGGAGACTAGAAATGTTTCGAGGTTGGCAGTGTGGGACGCTGACCAAAAGCGACCGTGATGGAACCAAAGCTGTACCTTTTGATGTTTCCGTACGTACGTTGGGACTGCATGTGACGCTTGGCAATACAGCTAAGGGTTTCTGCGTAAGACACACTGAAGAACGCAGAGCCGAGCTGAAAACAGCGTTGCAAGAAGTGTTGGACAAGAAAACAATAGAGCCTAAGCAGGCCGAACGTTTGAGAGGTCGCATGCAACGGTTTGAAGGGTACGCTTTTGGAAGGGTAGCCCAATACAGTTTGAAAGTGCTTGGTGAGTTGTCTTTAAAAAGACAAAAGCAGGTGCCTTTGAAGGACAAAGAAATGCAGGCCGGGGCCTACCTTATTCAACGTGTTTCTGAAGCTCGGGCCATAGATATTGGCCCTGTTTCCTTGGATACTTTTCTCATTTTTACAGATGGGGCATGCGAGGGCGATTCCTCTCGCATCGGCAGTGTGGGGGGCGTTTCGGTAGGGCCCTCTGGACGTTGCACTCAGCACTTCTCTTCAGAGGTACCAACTGACTTCATGCGAGAGGCGTTGGCGTGTTCTGCAAACCCCATATATGAGCTGAAACTGTTACCAATTAACATAGCCCTCCATGTTTGGGGGAAAGGGTGCATTCCACCCACTTGGTGTGTTACCTGGACAACGACGCAGCAAGGGCGGCGTTGTGCAAAGGGTATGGCAGCACCGAACTTGACCAACGCATCGTTGGATGTGCTATGCAGCTTGAAAGTCATTTCAAAACAAAGTCTTGGTACGCAAGGGTACCCTCACACTCTGACATTTCTGATGGTCCAAGCAGATTGGACTGTGAAGAGGTGGAGCAGTTGGGGTCGAAACAAATCGAGATAGACTGGGAGGTCATCCTAGAGAATCTCTTTGGAGTTTCGGGTGCATCTTCAAAAAGGGGAGAGCACGGGCACACCGAATGATCCCCAACTGCGTTGGTTAGAAAAAGGTGTGAGCAGTGAAATCCATTCACGATGTTTTGTATGACTTGTCGTTTGCGGATGTTTTTATTTGTATCGGAATTTATTTGGCGAGGTTTAATTTGTGCGCGCGTGCAAGCACGGTTGCGGTTTCAAAAAGGAATAAGTTGGGACTCCTCCTTTAGGAGGATACAAACCTTATTCCTAAAAGAAAAATTTTGGGTGATCCAAAATTAGCAACTGGTGTTTGTTGAACACACGCGTTTAAATACTTTGCCAAAACAACCTGAAAACTTTTTGAGGTTTTCTCTGAACTCTTTGTTCTGTTTCAGTTGTCCACGGTTGTACTGTTTGTTTAACATGTCGATGTTTTACAGTACTCCATCTTCAACCTCTGTGTGAAACACATTGATCTGTATATTGCATGAGAACCATTTTGGTTTAAGGGAGGGTTGTGGTGGGACCATTCGTGTATTTGTACGCGTAGATGACCCACCCAAACTGTTTCCAGTTTTCCCACCCTTTTCCTTCGGTTCTATGTTTATAGCCTAGCCCTAAGCCTAAGAGCACGGGCACACCGAATGATCCCCAACTGCGTTGGTTAGAAAAAGGTGTGAGCAGTGAAATCCATTCACGATGTTTTGTATGACTTGTCGTTTGCGGATGTTTTTATTTGTATCGGAATTTACTTGGCGAGGTTTAATTTGTGCGCGCGTGCAAGCACGGTTGCGGTTTCAAAAAGGAATAAGTTTGCATTCTTTTCCATTTAGCGCGTCGGTGCCATGTCTTCTCTCATAGATAGTCAGGCTCAGTTTGAAAGCAACTTGAGAGAAGCTGGAATTGCAGGTGCTTTGGTTGAGAGCCTCAGGCGCCACGGTGTCAAGACGTTGTCACAATTGGCCTTTGCAATTGGCCAGCCAGGCCAACCCATTTTGGATGCAAACATTGAGCAGTTGGTACAACAAGCCCATGGAAGGGCAGCCAACCTCACTGAAATTGCCATTTTGAAGAGGGCAGCGTTTGAGGCTCAGACATACCTCACCGCAACTTTGAGGCAGGCAGTTGACAAAACAGATGACACTCCAAGGCGAATCCCGTTTGCCGAGAGAAACACACGTTTAGAAGCGCTACGTGCGGTGTTGGGTGGCATAGGCATTTCTGGTGAGCACGAGCCTGCCCACAGTCTTTTAGACAGGGCCTGTGCCATGTTTGAGGCCAACAACATCAAGTATCTTGAGTTGTCGACATGCATTTCCAGATCGCTTGAAGTACAGGGATCAACAAAGTCGAAAGAACTGACCTTAGAAAAAGGATCGCTGATTCTCAAGCATAGCGAGGACAAGCTCACATCGCCAACAGACAGCGAGATCAAAGTCCATTATGCAATGGTCAGGAGGGGCATCAGTTTCCAGTTTGCAAAGCTGATGTCATACGCAGAGCATGCAGCGTGGGAAACCTTCCTATTCGAGGCACTTCACCGTGAAGCTCCACCAGGCTTTGCCAGGCCTTCATTGGCCCAATTGCTGCAATGTGACAAGGCGGCGTTTGGCCGACTGACAGCACAGGTTACAAGTGTGAGGCAAAGGGAGGACGGAACCTACCCCCTCGGTGAAGCATTGCTTGCACTCAGGCATGATCCGCTGGTTGCATTGTTTCTCATGCCCACTGCCAAGTCAAGTTCCGCAGCAGCACCTGCTGCACCTGGTGCAGCTTCAGCATCTACTACCAGACCGCACCCCTACAGCCAGCCAGGGGGCAAAGGAAAAGCAAAAGGCAAGCGAAGCGGTGGAAAGTCATCACCGCCCATTCCAGCTGAGCTGCGTGGCAAATGGCACAAGAGTTCTAGTGGAGACCCCATATGCTATGGGTTCAACTGTCGCAGTGGTTGCAGTGAGAAGGGAGTCAAGCCTGGTGGCAGGTGCTCGAAAGGATTGCACATCTGTGCAGAGCCCCGCTGTGGTGCTTCTCATTCGCTTCAAGATCATGGCAAGTGACGCCAGGGTGCATCCATTGATTACAAGGTTTGGACTGGCATCAATGTTGAACAGGCCTTCATGATTGAAGTTTTTGCAGGATCAGCAGTTTTGTGTGCAGTTGCCAAACAGGCTGGCCTCTCTTGTTCGATTGCTATTGACAAAGTCAAGAAGAAGTCTGCAAGAAGCACTATTTTTCAGTTAGACCTGTTGAACAGCAAAGACAGAACCCTCCTGTATCAGTGGATGCAATCTCCCATGCTACTGTGGGTGCATTTGGCGCCCGTATGTGGCACAGCTAGCCGTGCACGAGACATCCGTCGGTTTGATGGAGATCCCTTGCCACTACGTTCAAATGAATATCCTGAAGGTCTACCTGACCTAGCAGAAAATGAGATGACGCGTGTTCAGATTGCAAACTTGCTTTTTCAGTATGCGTGTGAAATTTTTCTTGCAGCCACTTCACTTGGGGTTCTTGTCACCATGGAGAACCCAAAGAATTCATACTTTTGGCTCACATGTTGGCTGCTGTGCATTCTCAAAGAGATTCCAGTGTTTTTTGCCGATTTTCAGGTCTGCATGTTAGGTGGAAGCCGTGATAAGTGGACTAGAATAATGGCCAATTTTCCTGCCATTGAGAGCCTTAATATACGTTGTGATCATACCCACGAGCATCAATCGTGGGGTTTTGCAAAGGATGCCGAAGGCAAGCGTGTTTGGGCCACAAGCTTGGAGTCACAATACCCCACAAAGATGTGCATTGCTCTTGTCAACTTAGTTCTACAGTTTGCTGCAGAGCATGGCCTGACATTGCGTGCGCTTAGCTTGCAGGAAGACACAAATCCCTTGAACGCCAACAGGCGTGCTATGGTTTCTGCAGGTCAGCAGCCACGACCATCGAGGCTGCCACCAGTTGTTTCTGATTTTTGCTCAGTGGCGGTTTTTCTTGCGACAACACTGTCCCAGGTGCCTTGTTCACTCATGCAAAAGTTAGACAGAGACATAAAGTTGCGTACAAAAGGTGGACAGCTTGAAACCGTGCCCAAATACAGTCGTTTTTTGCGTTTTTCAGCCTTGACTTCCCCCAAGAAAAGGGGGGAGAATCAGGGGAAGTCTTCAAAGCGTTGTCTGGATGAGGAGGTAGCAATGTTGGAGGATGAGTCAAGTTTTGAGGTTGCTTTTGGGCTTCCCTGGACTTGTGAAGGGTTCATCAAGCAGGCTTGTTGCAACGGACATCCATCGTTAAAAGACATGGGTGTACCACCAGAACTTGATGCGGCAGTGCGCAAGCACATGGAATGGAGTGATTTGCAGTTGAGCAATTACAGGATTGCATGGTGCAGAAAGTGGATGTCTAGAGCCCATGAGTTGGAAGCTCAGGAACGTCAGGCGGCAGCCAAGAGACATGCTGCAGTTGCTGAGTTGACATCCAACAAGCGGTTGCTGCTCACCAGAGAGATGCTGGCGGACATCAACTATGAGGATGTAGATGCAATCTCTTTGCTTGAACAAGGTGCCACCTTAGCTGGTGAGGTGGAGAAATCACCAGCGTTTGAGACTCAGTTCAAACCTTGCTTGGCTACAGTTTCCCAGTTGGAGGCCGATGCAACACGGCGTAATCAGCTGGTGCTACAGCTGACTTGTTCTTCCGGATCAGAGGAGACAGACCTTCAGTTGCTTGCCGAGACGGAGTTAGAGGTTGAGAGAGGGTGGGCTGAAGGACCCATCGACCTATCTGCTCTTGAGGAGGGAGCTACCATCTCCCGAAGATTTCCTTTGGTGCAATCTTCCAAGACCAGGATGATTGACGATTTCTCTGTAAGCGGTGTCAATGATTCTTGCATTGCCCACAATCGGGTGGATCTTCATCTCATTGATACTTTTTGTGCGATGGTAAAGTCCTTCTTTGGTCAGTGTGCGGTGGCTGGCAAAGATAGCGAGCTCCGAGCTAAGACCTACGACTTGACCAGTGCTTACCGCCAGGTGCCAATCAGGCCAAGTCACTACAAGTATGCCTATGTTTGCATTTACAATTGCAAAAGGGGTTGTGCTGAAATCTACAGGATGAAAACAATGCCCTTTGGGGCAACCCACAGCGTGTATTGCTTTCTGCGCTTGGCCCGAAGTCTTTATTCCTTAGCTGTCAGGGGTCTTTACTTGCTGACCACCAACTTCTACGATGACTTTATACTTGCTGCCCAGCCGGGGTTATGTGAATCATCCAAGAACAGCATGGAACTCCTATTCATGTTGACAGGGTGGCTCTATGCAAAGGATGGCAAGAAGTCCACGGCTTTTGCCAACCATTGCAAGGCTCTTGGCGTTGAGTTTGACTAGCAGATCAGAGCAACGCTTGATGGCAGTGGCCAACACACAGTCACGTAGAGAGGAACTGGTCAGGCAGATCTCTGAAGCTTTGGAGCGTGGGACCTTGGATAAGCAAGCTTGTCTCATGCTGAGAGGCAGGCTTGGCTTTGCAGACAGCTTCATGCATGGGCGAATAGGAAAGTTGGTACTCAAGAAACTAATCGACCATGCGTACGGCAAGAGCAGCCGAATAGATGAAGAGCTTCGTGTGGCGCTCCAAGCCATGCAGATGCGGCTACAACATGATGGCCCAAAACTGGTTTCAGCCAACAGCTTTTCTCAGTGGTTTATTTTTACTGATGCCAGCTACGAACCTTCTTTGGGTACAGGTGGCTTGGGTGGAGTACTGATCAATGCTGAGGCGCAAGTGTGCGCCTGGTTTGGACTTCCGCTTGATGCTGCCACTTGTATTTCTTTTGGGTCACACGGCAAGTTGACCATCATCTATGAGTTGGAACTACTAGCTGCCATTATAGCTTTGAACTTGTGGAGTGGTAGTCATGGCGATGAGCTTAATGTGCACTTCGGCGACAACGACGGAGTGCGCTTCTCCTTGGTTAAAGCTTCAGCAGCAGGAACAGTTGGCCAAAGATTATTGGCGTATCATATCAGACAAGAAGCCTTGAAGGGATCTCGAACTTGGTTTGCACGCGTTCCTACTGAGTGCAATTTGAGCGATTTTCCTTCGCGTGGTGTGGTGCATGCTTTACTGGGTGAAGACTGCAATGCGAGCGCAAGTGCTTTGGTTTTGCTTTCGGAAGTTCTGGCACATTTGAACAACGGTGGCAATTCACAATTTTCAGAATGGGGGAGGTCAGATCGTTCAGCCCCCGTGTCTTGAAAACAAGAGCTTCTTGCAGCATGCTTCCATTGCAGTTGACGGTGGCATTCACGAAGTGAATTAACTGTCAAAACGGAAATGGAAAAACAAACGAGGTTTGTGAGCATGCACCTGTTCATCTTGATTTCCTCTGCAGTTACCTTCAAGGGCGGGCGTGGTGGGATCGCCTTTTTCCACGGGCTTGCAAACGCCCACCCACAACCGCCCATTGCAAGACCGTGTCAAAACCATCAGAAGCTTTCAGCCCTTCAATGCAATATCCTCCAGAAGTTCTTCAACGCTTGGATTCACCGCCGTGCCTAACCCGGGCCGTGCGGTCAGATCGTTCAGCCCCCGTGTCTTGAAAACAAGAGCTTCTTGCAGCATGCTTCCATTGCAGTTGACATGTTCATCATAAATCAAAAACATATACACGTATAAATAAACAAATAAACTTAAAAAACGTAAATATATATATATATATGTATATATATATATAGATATAGATATAGATATATATATATAATATGTCCCGGACAGGAACAAGGAAGGAAAGGCAGAGGAAACAGGTTCAACCAGATTACAAAATGGTTCAGCCGAAACGCGTTTGGTTGGGGCACTTTGTATTTGGCAAGTAGAGTACTAGGAGCATGGTGTTGACACTGGTATGCTAGGATGCCAGGGGGAAGGTTGTGGAACGATAATGGTGCATGCGAGCTATGATATCATGATGCGTTGCTGTTAGCGTGTCAGCAACATCGAATGGTATATAGCTTATTTCAAGTCAAAATCTGACACGCAAAAACAATCGCGCCACATGTTCTGTCAATACACATCTCCCTTTGCCCAACTAACTTACGCACTTACGCCCCCTTCCTTTTGGCCTCAAATTTGGTAATTTGTCGTTTTCTTGTGTCGATCATTTTTAGCGAGTATTTTTGGACAAAATATTTTGGTGCATGATGCAAGGATGGACATGGCATTTTCGCCGCGTTTGGAACACGGCGAATTAACCCTTATTGTTCCGATCCAACTGAAGACGTTTCCGATTTTTATGCATGTTCGAATACCGATGGTGCTGACTTCACAGTCGACCAATTCGGACATTTTTTCCTTTCAATGTGCCAGCCACAACAAATTATCCAAATTTAATTGCGCCAAAACGTAGATTCCGACCTTCTGGGAACCAAACATTTCGGTCATCATTTTAAACATTTTCGTTCAACTGTTTTTTTTGTGTTTGCTGGTGACGGTCAAACATTTGATTCCCATTTCAATGATTATTTCCATACCTCTCATTAAATGTGGAAAACTACTATTTGCAACCATAGTTTTTCTTAATGGAAAAACAAAGGTATCTAATTGGATACTTTAGGTCTCATTTTCATTTTGTTTGAAATACTTTATCCATGAACACGGATCACATCAAAACCGGGATTTTTCCAATTATTCGACCTTTGGCATTACACGATTTGGAAGTAAATTTGGATGTGACAGTATTTGGGTGCCGTGACATGCGCAGGTTTAATACGTTTGAACATGTTTGTCATTTGTTGACTTCGCATTCGAATCATGCCAATTATACCTTGGGGACAGTTTGTTTTGTGTTGTTACGTTCCTGCTCACAAGTGATATCGACGGGTTTGGCTTGGAAGCCATGGCGGAAGATGGTTTGGTTCAAATTTTGGTTCCTTGGCATGATTGGCTGTCAATGGCATCCGTGGTTCCACAGTGGATGTACCAAAGACCTTTTGAAGTCCAGTGCGGAACCCCCCAAATGTGCTGAGGCGCTTTTGGTTTTGGACACAGACGGTGGGCGTTTGGCCGTGAAATACAACTCATTAGCCCGCAAGGACAGCATTTTTTGTTATTTTTTTCCACGGTTGTCATTTGTCATGAGAACTGGAAAAAACAAAATCGGTTCAAAGTGATTCAAACTGTTATTGCTAGTATTTTGTTCCTGGTACGAGGAACTGTGGCCAAGTGTCAAACAACAAGTTGCTTTTGAAAAACGGGTCTTCACCTCAGATGCTGTTGAACCGTTGAATCTTTGGGAATCTGCAAGTGTTGCACAACATTTTTTTTGCAATATGTTCAAACAACCTGATACCAAGGTCATCAACAAACTGCCGAAACCCTCCGCAACCCGAAGTGATGTGGACGTTGCCGTCATAGATGACTACACCGTCATATTTCAGGTGCCGAAAAGGTTTCTTACATATTTGTAAACGTACCAACAAAACCACCCTCAATCAGTTGCATTTGCAATCAGGCTTGCAATGATGTTGTCGTGGCTGCGGTTGCTGCTAGCAGCGAGAACGAACTAGTGGTGCTCGAGCTCGCACGAGCCTCAATGGATCAGCATCTGGAAAATGTGACGAATGTGGCCAAGTAAATGGGAACGATTTGTGAATGGCGGATATTTTGTAAACGTGCCTTGGGGAAGTGCAACTACAAAGGCTGAAGGCATGTTCAATGCACTCTCAAGCGCCTGCCAAAGTCAGAGTTTCCTGCCGGTTGCTCAGACTCCTAAGTGTCCGTCATGTATTCAAATATATGCCGTGCTTCAATAAGACCATCTATCACATTTTCATACATTTTCCATATTTTTTTGGTCTACAAAAAGGGGCAATGACCTGCACCTGCATGGAAACCCATTTCTGCGGAGTTTCTGATTCTGATGCAATGTTAGAAATTCTGGCGAAACATGTCGTTTGATCGAGGTCTTCGGGGCTGACCAAACAACTTGTGCTGGACAATCTGAGTGATGTTCTTTTCATTTTAGATGAGGTTGGCAGCGCCTGTGTTGCCAAGAGAATGGCCTGAGACAGACATGGGACCCGACACAGACGCTGTTTTCGTTTCTTGTGACTTGACTTGACAGCTTGACAGCTACTGTCGGCTACCGTGCCATTTTGGCAGGTGACCGACAATGGAGTCATCATGGAGACAGATGATGAAAAAATCTCTGCACGAATCAAAATGATCGATGAAACAGAGGTCACCCAAAGTGCGCAGGCTCGGCATGGCATGGTATGGCCTGGCCCGGCAAATGCATGGGTTTCATGGGGTGAATCTGCAACAATTTGCAATACATGGCAACATGATCAATATGGTAAATTTAGTGCAATATAATATAATATAATATAATATAATATAATATAATATTAATATAATATAATATAATATAATATAATATAATGCAATGTAACTTCATGCAACTTCCTGTAATTTCATGTGTCTCGTGTTGAACCACAGTGAGTTGCTCCGGAGCCCATTCAGGCTGAGCAGATGTTCCAGAAAGCAACCCAAAGTCTCAAACTCAAGTGACAATCAGAAACTCAAGGCAAAAGAGAATTGAGATGAGTTGAGTGTCACAGTATGCAATCAAAGAAGCAGTTCAGCATTTGTCACTTGTTTGCAACTTTGCGATCGCTGCGAGGTGCGAAGCAGAAGCTGCTGGGTTCATTGATGGGGAGCCGGGGTTGAGATGCCCATGGCTCTCTGAGCATTTGGCACAAGCTGCCGCTGATAATATCTCAGCTAGCGAGGCTCAGAGCGACTTCATGCCCGTGCGGCAGCACTTGGTGGAAGGTATGTCATGTATTGATTAACTACGCTTAAGTTTTGTTCAAAATCTGTACCCTAGCTAGCCAATGCTAGACATTGTTTTCACAATTCACTTGGAAAGTCTTTTCGCTTTCGCATAATCTTACTAGTCTTGCTTCGGCTGTGCGGAAGTATCACAAACCAAAATGGTTGCCTACTCAAGGCATTTCGGTCAAAGTGAGGAGTGTGAATGCTACAGATTGCTCCACCGCGCTGGTCAAAATTGCAGCTTCTGGATCTCGGGCAGCGGTGAAGTCTTAGTCTTAGCTACTTTGTTTGTGCTGATTCTTGCTATGAAGAAAGCACTCAAATCACTATGGACTACAGTGACTACACACTAGCCAGCCCTTCCTGCGAGGAACATTTGTCCCTGTATGGATCTAATGGGCTCAAGTCCTCACCGGTGAGTTTGTGCTAGACATGGCCAGCCGCTGCCTGGCAGCTGGGGCGTGTGTGAGCTTCTTTGCCGGCATTGGATTCTGCCTTCTTGTCGGTCAGTTCTTGCCAGTGAATCCTGGCCTTGCTCGGCGCTTGGAAGCTGTTGGACACTGGGCTGATCATGAACTATCACATGCGATCATGATAATACATGCTGAAATTGCGAACAGGGGATCACTGGGAGCACGAGCTGGAGTTGCATCGCAAGCCTCTGAGGTTGAGGGCAAACATGAAAAGCAGTCTTGTTTTAAGTATGTTCATAAACACACTTACGCCACAGGTGATCCCAAGGCAGCTGCTTACTTCGTTGCCAAATATTTTGGAGCTTGGTGCAATCACGAACCTGGACATGGAAAGCAGCGTACGCACTGCAAAGATACCGAATTTGAACAGCCCATGACATGGAACGCCTATTTCCCAGCAAGTTTGGAACAGCCCTTGGGTTTCTCCATTCACTTTGTGAAGAATCCTCACAAATTTCCAGCGCAAGCTCCGATGAACGAGACGGAGCTTGGGCTTTTGGTGGAGAAATGGCGCGGGAACTTCAGCCAGACTGGGCGTTTTGATCAATTTATGGACAATCATTTGGGTTTGGTTTTTGATACACTGGATCCTTTGGTGGAAAAGTGGCAGCGAGATGGTGTGCCCTTCATTTGTCGTTCCTGGTGTTGTGGACCTGGGATGGAGCAGTGGCCGGATCGGTGCCCCTTCGGTCCAAGCTCCGACATGGATTTCTGCGAACAGGGCTGTTATGTGGAGGTGCCACATGGCATCATTCTTGAAGCTCTCTGCGGCATGGAGAATTACACGGCTTCACGAAAGTGTCTCACAAAGGTTGGCCCTCACCAGCTTAAGTCTTTCGACCTTTGTTCAGACAATTGACTTGGTAGTGCTTCGTCGCTGCATGCGCATGGCAGGATCAGCTGCCATTCGTATTCTCCTGGCCCTGTCAAGCAGCACCAGGGACAGCAGCTTGGCCAACTTGGCCGTGTGCAAGAACAAAATCTGTTGATGGTGAAGTGGATGCGTGATGGGATGGGAAACTTTTGGTACTTCAACAAACTCTTGTCACGAAAGCTAGCGGTAGCTAGCTGGAGTTACTCTTGCTTCAGCAAGGGGAGGGGCAGGTCTGAGATCACTCGAACTCCATCCCAAGCTCCCGGGGCGTTTTGAAGCAGTGTTGGAAGCAGATGGTCACGGGCTCAAATCCTGCCAGGTCCCTAACCTAGGCAATCTGTATTCAGCATATCCAAATCCCATCAAAATTCCATCATGTTTCCAGGCTCATATGAACATTATGAACCTTAGCTTCCCCCCCTTGGGCCTCAAGTGATGAAAGGTGTGCCAAACAAGCCACACATTTCCCTTCTCAAGGCTCATTTGTGTTGTGACAAAACTGATCCGTTTTCATGGAGCTGGGACACGAACCCTTATATTTTGTGTCTTTTGCTCGCAGACTTGCTTTGATTTGATGGCTCAAGACCGCACCAACTTCATCCAACTTCCACATCCCGTTCTTGAAGCTTCATGAAAGGAACTACCGGGTCCAGGCCGGCAACAGTATCGATCAATATTCGCAAAACAAAAATCAAATCCAAATTGGTAGCCTATGTGGTGCCCAGAGCATCCTTGTGTCTTCTTACGTTTTGGTATCCCCCAAAAAAAGAACACTAGTCATCACTAGCCCTGTTTTAGCTCACTTTTAGCTCACTCGCTGATAAGTTTGAGTTCACAGTGTTCTATCACTGACCCCGACCGCATTAAGCACAGTAGATGGCTTCATCCCACTGGTTGCTGAAACTCGTGTAACCAAGTTTGTCTGAGTCGTGTGATATGATCGACCTTTGGCTTGGAGAATAATCTAGATGTGATGATCTGTGATGATGTGAAAGAGAAAGCGAAAGGACCAGAAGTCTGAAATTATTGCCCTTAGCATGGAGCTGAAATCCGGCCATGCCTCCTCGGAGACCTGGAGCATCCAAGAAGGTGCGACGTTCCACATTGAGTCTGGGATGGTCCAGAATCGTGACATCAGAAGACTGCGAGACCTTGCGAGAATGTGCGAAAGTGTGCCAAATTTATAACAGTTTTGCAAAGAATTACTATATATATATATATATAGTTGTAACATGTTGTAACAACAGTAATTGAATTTAAACAAGGAATTTGCAGAATGGCAGCTGCGTTGAGGACTCTGCCCCGAATCTGACCAGGACGACCTGGCCACATTGGCCACATTGGCCACCCTCCCCGACTTCGTGGATCCGGATGAAGCCGTGGTGTCCTCCTGGTGCGGCTTGGAATCGCTTGGAATAGGGATGGTGTCTTTGGACGTGCCCCACCCCAATGAAATAAACATAAACATTGAACCAACATGTACACAAAATTATACAAACATGAATAAGATATAATAAGATATAATAAGATATAATAAGATATAATAAGATATAATAAGATATAATAAGATATAATAAGATATAATAAGATATAATAAGATATAATAAGATACTGTAGGTATTCATACCTTTCCAGTCCTTTTCACACAGCAAAATCACCCAAACATCTCCTTGCCCTTTGGGTGAGCAAAACTGAAACATGTGCTCTGCCTGGAGGTTTGCAGACTACAAGTCTGAAGAGACTAGTGAAGGCTTGGCCGTGTACCTGTTGCACACAAACATTGATTTGTCATTTAGAGATTTAGAAAGATGAAAGCTGGTGGTCACTGCTGTTCTTGACAGCTGAGCCTGCCAGACATTTGTGAATCTCCACCGATGGTTGGCAGGCAGTGTTGCCTGGCTAGCGGAGGTGGCATCCAATCCGCAAAGGTGACTCGGAAGTGCTTAGTTTGGACATTACCCATCAGAACCGTAAGTTGGTCGGGTAGATTGATGAGGTGTGAAAGTGTTGATACCCCTGGGCCTTAATGCCATTTTGGCAAAAAGGATCCATTTTGCTTCTAATTACATGTGTTATGACTTATGACTTTGTTGAGTCTAATTATGTATCTGTGTGTTTACCCATTATATCCATTATCATTCCAAGACAATGTGGAGGTTCACCAGCATGTCTCTACCGAAGGGCTGGTACTTCTCATGTGACGGTGACAGAATATAGAGTGGAAAATGCATCTGCTTTCTCATTGAAAACCGCGAAGGGTACCACAATCTTTGGGACGTCATTGAGCCCCATTGTCATTAATGGTATAGCCACTCCTGATTATTGTCGACCAAGGTTGACGTACTCGAAAGCCAGATGTTTCTTTTCCCCTTGAATGTGCCTTTTGGATCAAGAGTCCAATGCCAGGTCCGACCGTTTGGGAGTTGGTGCAACTCCTGCAAAAGTGGCAGCTGGCCACACAGCTTGAAATGCTGCACTGGTCAAAGTTCTTTTGCTCCAAAAAGACTGGTATTTTCCTCCCAGTTCTACTTATATACTTCTCTGCAGGAATTTTACCACCTGAGGACCAACCTGCAAAAGAGTTGCAGCCTTTGGGCAAAGCAGCAAGAAAGGCCATGAATAGAAGGCTCGGGATCTGGGATGTATTCCTGTACTCAACGACCAGATTCAAACACTCAGGCACAAGTTTTGCCCTCAAGTTTCAGAGGCTTCGAAGAGAGAAAGAAGAAGCAGAATACGCTTTACAAGGCTGTGGATAGTGGTTGGAGTTGAAAAATCAAAGTGGTAAAACAAGTTCCCTGGACAACCAGGTACTTATTGGGTTTCATTGCGGCAACATTGCCATTTACTACCAGTGCTTTACAATGTGCTGGCACTGGATGGAACTGACTTCGCTGTTGTTTGTGTGCTCCGAGGCAAGTGTTGCTTTGTAGAATTTGACAAAGCATGATTGAATGAGTACATCGTGATTTTCCTTTAGAAATCAGCTCTAGAGTCTAGAGACAAACAACACAGTTTCTGAGCAAACCTTTCAAGACAAATGGACCACTTCAGATGCAGCACATAATCAACTCAAAACAAACTCTGCATACAATACTCGAGACAAACAGTCCGTTGTGTGGCCACGTAGAAAGTAACATTGGAGTAGATCCCTTTGACGCTTGGCAAAAAGTTGGGAGGTTAGGCAGCCGCGTGATGCAAATTAGTTCTAGCCATTTTGAACGAGATGGACAAATATCACTTAACTTCAGTTCTTAAGTTAATCAATCAGTCCAACACGAACATTCGAAGACAAGCTTTCGACAAACTTTTTCAATTTGACTGCATCTGCAAGCACCGCAAGCACCCTACCTGTCAAGAGCTCAGGAAGCAGCCATGCTCGAGCAGGATGTGGACATAACACTGAAGGCCTTCAGCGTAATTACTTCGTACCTGCCACTTCTGCATGTGAGTTGACAAACATTGACAAAGCATGGCCTCATCATGGCCACATGGCCGAACCTGGCCAAACTTGGCCTGGCCGAAGGTGATTGTTGTCGGGAATGGACAAGTTGGGAAGACGTCCATGCTGCTGCCTCAGCCTGTCGTAGCATTCCCATTCCAAGGCATCGCTTTTGGAGTTCAGAATTCCCGGCCGTGCCCGTTCACTTTTACAAAATTTGGAGACGACAGGATCACGCGATTTGCAAAGGGCATCTTCACAAATGAATATAAGAAGACCATCGGCCAGGGACCTAGCTGTCTTTGGCATGACGGATGTGGCATCATTGCATTCATATCACAAGTACATTGGATGCTTCTACCAGATTCTCGCATGGATCCCAAAATTGGATGACATGGATCACTGTTCAAATTCACTGTTCAAATTGTGCGCGTTGATTTGGAACAACAGGGGTCAATCTCTGGGTCCCATAGCCAGCATAGCCAGGTCATTGATTCGTTTTGACGGTCCAACATCCAATTGGCCCAGTGGCTTGCAGCTGAAAGGTGTTGACTTCCTTGAAAAGAGGACGTTTTTGAAGGACATTGGCGAGGAGGTGGGATAGTGCTTCCCAGCTGTTGAGACCAAGTGAAACCATTGGATCGTTGGGGAAAAAATGACAGGAATCCTTGATCCAAAGACAGCTTTAAGCAGACACATTCCTCAGTGCAGGAGATCATTTTCCTTTTATTTCCTTTCCAGTTTCTCTGATGACCATGGACACGTCAACTTCCAATCCCCTCCGGGCGCATGTTTGGCGGCCAGGTCACTTTTCTGCTGTGGGACACAGCAGGTCAGGAGGAGTATGATGCAATCACCAGAGCGTACTACAAGGTCGGATGCCCTTGGCGAGCTGCGAAAATTTGGAGCGGTCAATGATTGTAGTATGGATCCAATACATTTCAGCACATCCCAAAAAGGATGTGACTATAAATACCAAAGAGTCTGGGCTCTTGGTCGAGGCGTTCTTTGAACGGGTGCTTATTTGTGTGCAAGGAATTCCACTGCCTTGTGTTTCTAGTTGTCACAGCAAGATTTCTTGGTGACGCCAGGGAGCTGGTGCCTGCATTTTGGCATTCTCCACCACAGACAGAGATTCCTTTGACGCCGTTGAGTCTTGGTACAAGAAGGTGCCATGTCCATGGACATCCATAGCCTTCCTTTGCTGGATGGCCCCAAATGGGGCATTTGGCCGGGACCTTCACTGACTGGTCATTGCAATGCTTGTGTTCGCGCAGGTCCATGATGAATGCGGTCAGATGGCCATGGTGTTAGTTCAGAACAAGGCAGGGATGGACTTTAGCAGACTAACGTGGCAATGGATGATCCTCTCATTGGTCAAAGCTTCGGCTTGCTAAGGTGGATCTGATGGACGACGCAGTGGTGGACGCTAAAGAAGTAGAGACGTCAGCCTCTAAGCCACAACTTGAATCAAATCCGAGCAAGGGAGAGAGACTCGGAGAGAGAGAGAGAGAGGACAAATTGCACTTGTTTTAACTTTTTAACGGACAATGTCCTCCTTTGCCCACCTTCGAAGCATCATGGGTAAAATTTGCTCACTTGAGGCTTGCGAAGAAGCTGCGGCTCAAGCTCTACAGGACCGAAGCGGCAGCTGCATTCGGTTCAATCCATCTAATGGGTCTACAAATTATTACAAATTGCTATTTTGGTGTGGTAGAAATGCATTTAATATACTTTAATGGGATCATATATGAAAGCTGTGTTGTTTGATAAAACCGTTTGATTCTTTATCTACACATTCTACACGTCCCCAGTTTCAAACTGGTAAGGTTTCGATTGTGAGGACCTGTGTCAAAGATGATTTGAACGTAACCGAGGCCTGGGACTCCGCTAGAATTGTGGAAAACGAGTCCTGCGTCACACAAGAAACAAGAAATGATAAAAATGTTAATTCAACTTGATTAAAACCTTGTGATGTGAAGTGTAGATTCCATGAGCATTGTACATGATACGTAAGGTTGGGCACTGCACTGCAGATTTTGATGTGTTTGAAACATATCCCATCCTCTCCGTTTCAGTCATTTAATCCATGTTCCTTTTTCCAAATTTTCCAATGCATTGCACCAGGTCTTCACCCATTTGGGCAGTGAATTCGTTAAACACGGTGGTGAGGCACGTGTGGCCTGTCAACCGTTTCAGAGACCCACTGGACCTGGCTGATCATTTTCAGCATATATAATCAAGATATAAACATATATATATAACTATATATTATTATAAATATAAAAATATCTATATTATATATTGTATATTATTGTATTATTATATATTATATCTTAGGATCTCAGATTTTGTATGCTCTTGTGGTTGAGCCGTGCATCTTGAAGGAAAGGGGGGGAGTTTACATTGGTGACAGTGGACCACCGTGATGTGTCGTGGCCACACGCAGACATCGCTTGGGAAATCCAGCATGATGTCAATCGAGGAGGCAATGGGGGTTTCTGTTGCATTGTAAACCGGGCAATTTCCATGGAAAGTTTCATGTATGGCAGTTATGGCAGTTATGGAAGTTATTGAAGTTATGGAAGTTATGAGCTGGATTTGCATCATCTTTGGACGTATTTGGGATCACTGAGAAGTATGGGGGTGTTGTACTTGTAGGGAATGAGATCTGCAAATATTCCGAGAAGATATTGCTTTCAGTGCGCTGGAAAGTTGTACTCAGATCACATTCCTTCCAGCTTCAATTTCCTGCTCATGGCATACAGTTTTAGACTCACTACCGATAAATTTGCGACAATTTCCTATGAGTTTCCTATGAGAATGGCCAGGTAGCTTCTAAGCCGCTGGCTGTTTGAAACTCAGCACCTGTAGCTCTTCAAGTGGAAGCTCAGCTGTTGTGTCGTGATTTGCCAAGGAAAGGAGTGCAGCTGCGAAGGTGAGAACAAATTGAACAATTTCGTTTCAAAACAACTACACTATGGACCCGACTGAATTCCTTGAGAAGGGCCTTTTTTCTTTCCAGTGATTCTTCACCATGCTTGATCAGGATTGAAATGACTGATGACGATTCATTGGTCAATTAGTGGGTTGGATTGGGAATCAAATGCGAGAACCGATAATGTTCCCTCGGACCAGAAGCTATATACCATCAGATTTAATCGTTTGGCCTTTGCAATCTCTGGTGATTGCTTGCTTTTATTCCTTGTCACCTTGACGAAGAGGGCCCTTATTGCAGTGTATGGCAATGCAGGCTGGACAGCCACCTGCTGATGATGCGGCTCATGGCGATCAACCCTTCAAGCTGTCGACATTGGGCCTGACTTAGCAGATCTTAGCAGGTTCTGTTGATTTCTGTTGATCAAAGGTGACCTAGCTCTGACATTACTTTTTTGGACACAAGAGGCAGTTTCTGTAGGCCATTATGCTTTTCCAAGAAATTAACAGCTGCTCTTTGGACATATAATGATATATATATATATATTATACGTAGGATTACATGCAAGGCTGATGCTAATGGCCAAGATGATATGACAAGATGCAAGAACACCGGCGCAAACCCGAACAGCCAATACACATACATGTAAAAGGATGACTGAAGGCATTAGTTGGCATACAACTATGAGCACTGTGATGCAGGACCTGAATAGACTAGCAATAGCCACGCAGATAAGATGGGATATCAACCTACAAACTCACAAACCCGTTATTAGCACAGAATACCGATATGACCGCTGAAAATGACTGAGAAATGACCAAACATTTGTGGGAGTTTTGTAGGTTCTTGCTGACTTCCACGACACATGCTAACAGCAAGGTCACCTAGGACAGACATAAAGTATGACCCGGCAAGCGCTACGGTGTTATCTGTGCTCATTGATAAAACAGGCCTTAGCGGCAGGCAATGCCACTTTTGATGAAAGTTGACTGGCAGGCAAGTAGATATATTGTCGGCTTGTTGGCAAATACGTGTGCAAAGATGAAGTCAAAATCGACCACTTTGGTATGGTTTCAGTGTTGCCAGACTACCGAGGAATGGAAAACCATCGGTGCAGCGAACTGGTGGTAAGAAGACTCGGTAGGGAACTCAGAGAACAAGCACTCCACCGGCGTAGTTTTCTTTTGACCAAAACAGGGCAATCCAGCTGTTGATGAAGCCATCCTGCACCGCAGGGATCGTCTCATTTCCTGAGATTGATTCTGTTTCAGATTGTGTAGGATTGTCATGAATTGTCTCCTGCAACAACGAGGGTCCAAAGTTCCCTTGAAAGGCTTCGTCGCGCGCTTCCTGGACTAAGGTGCGTAATCTTGTGAGCTGTTGCTCTGTGTAGATTGTCGCGTCTTCACCACGTGTTTGATTTTTGTTACTTTGTTTGTTGCTTCAGAACTTTCTCAAAACTTAGACTTAGACTTTTGTTTTCTTTGGATCGCCATGATCACTTGATTTGATTCACTACAATCCAGTCTGTAGGAACTAGCAGCTGGCTCACAACATTTGTCTCACCCCGATTTGCCCTTCATGGGCACGGTGGCATGCTGGAACAAAGATTGCCCTTTGGAAGCTTAGAACGGCAAAATGTAGAGATATTTTAATCCTCGCTGAGGGGCTTTGAATCCAAATCGTTTGGTCCAGGGGCAACACCAATGGCTGCCAACAGCATTCTTTTGACAATGTGAAACAAGAAACGCAAAAGTTTGCAGGACAGTGGAGCTTGTTCTTGATAGAAACTATATATATATATTATATATATATATTAATTATATATATATATATATTATATTATATATATATTATATTATATATATACACGGTTCCTGTGATTTAACTTCCAGCTTGCACCCGAGACCACGTGCACAATATCCCTTGGAATTCATGATGGGGAGGTTAGTCCTGCCCGCTTGGAGAAAGGGTCGTAAAACATGTAGCGATCACTTTCGACAATGTGGCTGTTTGTGCGAGTTTCTTTGTTGTGGTGGAGTCAAATCATGGAGCCATATATTTCGCTTCAGTTTTCCGCGCATGTATGAACCTTTGATACGGATGAAACGACATGATTTAAGCAACATTTTGTGCAGTACCAAAAAAATCTCACACTTTGCCACTAACAGCCAGCAAAATGGCACGTCCATCAGTGCAGTACCAGACAGTGTCCAGTGTCCAGCGTCAAAAAGGGATGCGATTTGTTGTGCGTTTGGTCTGGTTAAACAAATTGTTGACAAGTAGCTTTTAAATCTGTTGACGTGTCTTCCTAGTCTTCCATGATTGCCAAGATGGGAAGACATTGGGTGCAGGTCAGCGGCGGCTTCAGAAGCTGGGAGGCAGATAGTAGATGAAATTTTCCAGTTGCGTGTAAAGAGGAACGGTGACATTGGACGTGCACTGCGTGGGGTTGCCATCGTGTCCTTTGTGAGCAGGAGCTTACGTAGTTAGACGTAGTTCATGCCACTTCAAACACGCTTGCTCAGAACTGTCATTGCGAATTCTGTTGTGGAATGCATCTTACGTGCAAAAACACTTCCATTACACCTGACAGGAATGGGTCAGTGAAGAGACCCGACAAAGTATCAAGGAGCTACGATTGCCATAGCCAGTGGAGTTGCATCATCGTTTTGAGTTGCGCCAACAACTCACCAGTTTCAACCAGAGATAGAAAAATTGAAATGAAAAGAAATTGTCCAGTGAGGGTTCTCGGCTTAGCCCCCTTGCCCTTCACACGCGCTGATTGCAAAATAATGGAATTTGAATGGAAGCAAACCCTGAACAACAGGTGATCACAACTGTGCAGGCACGCCAGACTGGCCAAGCCTGGTATCACCGTCGATGGTAAGTGTCTTCGTTGGCAGGAGACTTACCATGACGCTCCTTCCCCCTGCAAATCTGAAATGCAATGAAACGAAGTCAAGTCAAAACCTAAAACAGGAAGTTTTACATCTCTTCAGATGGTTCACACATACGCTCGGCTGCCGCGGGGCTTTTTTGGAAGATGCACAGCTCGGATCAAATCGATCAAAGTGCCAACGCAGCGGAATGATTGCCTCCAATGAGGAAAAAGGTATGATCTATGTGCTGTTGTCATCCGGAATTTCGGAGGACGCTGCACGATGTTGGGCAAGAACGTTCCCCAAGATCGCCAGGTGTCCTGCCAGGGTGGGCGGGGCCATCATGGTTCAGAGCTTCAGAGCTCAACGGTGACAGGTTTGGCGAAGCCGGTGAAGCTGTCCACTTGATTTCCATGTCGATCCCGAACATGACCCACGGTTCCATTGAAGAAGTATTGCAAAGACCTGCCACGAGAATGACCTGAGGAGTCAATTTCTTCCACCGCCACGTCTGCGGGCCCATTGCCATACTCATAGATCTTGAAGGTATGGGTAAGGACAATTCTTTGGCGCCACTGAGCTGGTTGGAGAAGGGCAAATGTCTGGAAATTTGGTGTGGGAGGAGCTAGAGGAGAGCGTCATAGGGATTGGTACCAACTGACTAATATATCCGGACGCTGGCTCAGGGCGAGTCAGGCGCATCCATCGGGGAAACTAAAGCGGCTGTGATGGAGCTACGTTTTGTCATATTTGAGAGCTGAAAACAACAGAACTTGAAATGAGGTGGAGGCCAACCAAACAACAGCAAGGCTACAAGAAAAAGTTGAATGGAAAATGAAAGGCGACATGAGTACTCGGAATTTTACGCATGTCGAGCATTCTATGGTACATATCCAGCAGGAAGGGCTCTATGGCAAGATAGGCGCATGATGTACGGCTGGTTGAAAGCAGTGATAGTTCATGCC